AGGAGTAGGAGTAGCAGTAGCAGTAGCAGTAGTAGTAGTAGTAGTAGTAGTAGTTGTAGTAGAAGTAGAAGTAGAAGTAGAAGTAGAAGTAGAAGTAGTAATAGTGGTAGTGGTGCTGGTAGTGTGGTGCTGCTAGTGGCAGTGGTAGCGGAATCTGCCATCTCCCAATGTGTCATGACAGGCAGGACAGCAGCAAAAGGTGCAGCGTTCGGGACTGTTCCTCATTATGACCCCTGCCGTCACTTACGACGCGAAGTTGTTTTGCTGCTCTCTATAAGTCGCGCCATTCCCAGGGCCGAGCCTGTTCACCACCAAGCGAGGGGAAATTGATCAACAGCCTGGGAGTTGGGATTTGGGTCCATGTCAATGTAAGGTTTCGGTTGAGCTGCAACCTCTGCAACCGCAAAGCTCAGGTCCTACCGGGAAGCACAACGAAAACACAGATGCAAGTCTCGTCCTGCTTGCATGTCATGTGGGACAGGATGTGCCAATTTCTACGACTAGCATCATCACTACTACGACCAGTCCTGCTGTTCTCCGTTTCGTTAGTGGCCAAACTGACTGGCTTGAACCATGTCATTCTAATCTTACTAATGCCATGATCGTGACTGCTCCCACATTGGTTGTCAGTGGCGGAGCTAGTCGTGGTGATGGTGGCAGTACTGGTGCTGGACATGTTTGTTGTTGCTGTGTTGTCATGTTGCCTTTTCAATGCATGCAGCATCAACTGTGTCATTCTTGACCATGCGGCCTATAATCTACGATGGTTTCTCTGGTTCCGTGACTGCGTGCCCGCCAATGCTGCTCGGGACTTGCAGACCTGCTGCCTCGGACATCTAAGATCCTGTTAGATGTGCACATGTTCTGTCCAGTCGGTTCAAGCCACAACTTCTTGCCCAGGAGATTGGCGATAGCATTGGCCGTCATCGTCTTCCTGACAAGCGCAGGGCTTGAGATGACGTGTTGTTGTTATTGTGTTCTGGCCCGCTGCCTGTGTTCGATTCCTCTCGGGCCCTCTGCAAAGTTTGGAACCCACAACCTGAAACTGCCTTCAATCCATTGTGCACCGCTGGTACCTGAATAGAGGGCTGACTTGCTGCTGCTCAAGGCATCGGGCGGCAGGGTTCTCCCAAACTTCCTACCACCATTCCTGCAGCCGAAAGTCCCTGTGCCAGAGTCCCCGTAGAACAGCATGACCAGGCCCGAGGAAGCGATCGTCTCCGCCAACCTCTTGCTCCCAAGTTCAGGGAGCAGGAACAGATGTCAGACATGCTCTTTTTCTACTATCTCTATATTATATATGAACGACGTCTTCATTGTATGTTACCCACATATTGACCATATCTTCACTAATTCACGGTCTATACATATATATATATATACGCACATACATATACATACCTGTATAGAAAGAGAAAAAAGACGAAGACAACACCATAAATAAATAGTTTGTGAACTTAGAAAGGCGTCTTTCGGGATGCCAACTGCAACACACGTTGCTTCTGTGACTTTACTACTCGAACCCAGGTTTGGATGCAGGTATGTATCGTTAATGAAATCCTGTAGCTACGTGTTGCAACTATGTGTTGCAAGTGGACAGCCGGCGGGCGCGTGAGTCGAAGTGAGTCGCCGTGACAGCTGCGATTCTTGCGCGTTCACCAAAGGGATCGGGGGCGGGGCGGAGGGGGGGTTGGCAGAAGCCCAGTGAACCTGCCAAAAGCGGAAGACTCAGACTTTGAACTCACCTCCTCCGAATCCTAAAGCCCTGAAGCCTACATCCTCAACTGCAAAATGGGAGTGACTAAAGTAGATGAATGCATCCAAGAGCTTGAACTGCTGCTTGCTTTTCTTGAAGAGGCCGAGACTTCGAACTGTCCGTGTGATGAGAGTTTTGGTCTCCTGCCAGGTTCTTCTTCGCTGTTTAGGGCCGAGGGTCACAGATAGCCTGGCCAAGCCCCAACCGCCCCATAAGATTCTGAGCACACTAGGCATTTTTGTGAGCCCTTTGCTCCATGGATCCTGGACCCTCAACTGTGTAGTGTCTAAAGATCGGTGCTTGAGAGAGAGTCCTAGGGACCTAGTGTTTGGGACTTAACTGCTCTCAGGATTTGATGTTGGGGGCCTCGCCAAGACTTAAACTCCTCAGAAACATATCCTGGAGCTTCAAGCTTTCTTTTCTCTTGCGAATCCCACTGTGGAGGGTCTCTGGCCCGAAGTGGCAGGTGGGGTGGGGTTAGAGACGATCTTAGCAAACTGAGCATGAGGGATATTGCTCAGTGTTGAGGCTCCCGTCTTATGTTCATGCTCGAAGTGTCTGTTTGTGCTGAACGCCACAAGCGACAAAGTTTTATCAAACCGACCGTGAGACGTTGCGAAACGGAGAGACGACAACAGCAAGGGTAGAATGTCCTCAGGCAGGACCACCGCATCCATCTTTGTCTGGGGCATGTAGAGGTGACTACCATCCACCTCATGGGTCTTCCTCTCTTAAGCCTGGCCCGGACATAATCTACCAGGATCCCTGTAAACAGGTGTGGCCTTCCAGAATCAGCAAGCAATCACAAAGCCAAGTTGCAAGGTGATGGACCTCGCTGTCCAGGCCAACGATGAAGTCCACCATCCGACGATCGATTTCCACGGGGCACGAAGACAAATCCCCTGGGCTGTGCCAGCACATGTGGTCGATGCAGAATTCGTAGATGACACTGCCAATCTGAATGTGTGTGTGTGTGTGTGCGGGCTCTGAGGTGCTAGCCCAGTTTTCTCCCTCAACTCCATCCTACTGCTGGTCTCTGCTCGACCAGGCCATGTCTCCCTGCACGCCCTTGGTGCTGACATGGATGATGTGGTCGCGGACGAGAACGGCATCCTCGAACCGGCGAGGTGCGGTACAAGCAGGCAGCATAATCACGATCAATAACTTGTATATTGCGAGTCAGGGTTGAAAAACCAGCGCCGTTTATGCAAGCAACTTGCTCTTGCTGAGCCGAGCTGCTCACATGGCCCGAGTGAATCCTAAAGTCAATCCCTCCTAACCGGGGATTTTCCAAACGCCCCCCTCTTCCTTGTAGAAGGACTTCCGGTTCGATATCTGGCTCGCTAGATCAGGGGAGAGGAAGGCGAGGATGGTTGCCACGTCCACCTCAGCGATTGAAGGCTTCTGGAACCTAGGATTTGTTGGAGCCGCCTGGAGTAGGACTCCTTCATAAGACAGCTTCTGTTTCCGAACGTTGGCTACAGGATGCGACGGTTTACAGGATGCCGATTTAGGACAATTCGAACTTGCAGCCCCTGACGTACTGCAACAGGTCAGATCCCGCATCTTCAAGCTTTAGCTGAACCTCCCCGCATATCATTTCCTGTACTTGAAGGGGAACCAAAACTGCAAGCTCTTGGGATCACATGTGGCTGCTATGACGCCCGAAATTACCTGTTACTTAGCGGGCGCAGTGAGGCACCCCGACAGGAGTTCTCCCGAAAACAGAAGGCTGGAACTGTGAGACGGGGACTCCTGATTTCGGAGCTTGCAGACTCTTGTAGCGCCTTGAGCGGATTAAATTGAAGCATCCGAAATATTGATCCTGCATGACGTTGAGGGACAGGCTCTCCTCGGCAGTGGTAGACTCCAGCTCCCACATTGACGGAGAACTTGTGGGGCAAGAGAATGAGACCCACAAGCAGGATAACCTCAACGCTTGGGCTTTCGCAGGAAACGATTTCAGGAGCTTCGGGGTTCAAGCTTTGGGCCATTCAACTCAGGCAGACCCAGTGCAACGGATTCCTCATGCCCGGCGAGCGGTACAGCAGCGACCCAGCGTGGTGTCTCGGAAAAGTCCAGCCTCCTAGCCTCCACCGGTAAGATTTGGAGTGTAGCCGCTCTCACAATCTAGGCTCTGCGAAATGAAGACTAGGTACGTGCTGGGTCGAGTAAGGCTGAGGACTTCGGGTCGATGTTGCATGAAGTTACATGCACCCATTCCTGCCGGCAGCTTATCACTGCCTTCAGTCCCAAAGTTCCACCCCTTCAGCAGAGAGCTCAGGGTCAAGGAGAACCCTGGCCAAGGGGCCACTTCTTTCTCGAATTCGTTCATCTGCCTGGCAGGGCATCTGACTCCACACCCTCAGAAGAATCAAGTCTTTCTGAAGGGTCCTTTCGAAGTATGTTCCGACCATGGTTCGGGTTCAGAGCACAGCATTGAAACAGCCTCAGCCCTGAACCTCCGTGAATCGTAAACTCCTAAGTCGCTGCTTTAGAACGCAAGCCTGGAAGAGAGGATGCGCTCTAAGCGCGGCACCCAAACCTCGAAAGCTCGGAGAAGTGGGCAGAGCATGAGAAGTAGGCACACAATAGAGGCAAGGGCAAGGGCTTAGACGACCTGGGCTTAGATTCAAGTTTGGGCCTTATAATGCTGCAGAGGATGGTAAAGCCGCTTTGCTTGAGGAGCTTTCGGAATTGCCTCTCGGAAATGTACCCGTTTGTCTGAACCGAATTATAATGAAATAATTAATGTGATTGTCACAAGTACTATGATTCGTGGACCAATGATTTTGCATACGTATCCGGGGGAACCTGCGGTGCACTGCTGCTCTGCAACATACTCATCCAGTTCCGGTTGTCATATAGAACGGGGTCTTGGGGCATGTGGTATAGGTACCTGGGCAAGCATGCAGGGACCAGACGCTCATTGCAGTTGAGACACTTCGTTTACAGCGTCATAAGCTACTGTCTGCAGGGTCTTCTTTGTGTCGATCCTAAAAGAGGTAGGTGATGGTACAGTAGGTTGTGATCGCACCAGGAAAAGCTGGGCGGCCACCGACTCGGATTGATCGGCCGTCGCCGCACGGGTGAGGCGCAATCGCTCCTGAGGGGTGCGGGGAGGGCTCCGGAATCTCGGTGTTTGAGATCCCTCCAAGGAGCCCAAAGATAGCTTGTGGCTCACGGGGTAAGGAGTTGGGAGTGAAGATGAGCGCAGCATGTTTGAGTTATATTCTGGCAAGTGTTGACAAAAGATGTGGCACAGTTGAACACGACCATGCTGCTGCTGTATGTTCATGTCAGGCGCTTGCGAGGACCCTGTGCTCGCCAGACCGCCCGATGATATGTTTCAACGACACTCGACTTGGCCTCTTGGCCAAGATTACCTGCATGCGCGCGATGCTGTACTACCGGCATCGGTACTGATCGACTTAGCAAGATCTTTCGGTATGCGGCTTTTCTTGCATACGCGGATATACGCGGCCTCTGCCGCTTCTCTCGTAAACGTTCTCTGACCACTTCAGGCTCGAGTTGGCCTTCGGACGAAAGCTCCAACAAAAACCCGACTGAAGCCCATTAATGTTCCCTTTGTCAACACCCTGAAGCCCTGCACAAACAGCTAGAGTAACGCCCACGACAGTCTGCATGCCGGGGAGCCTGGATTTTGCGAGTGAGCTGCCGCACCTGGCCTTCGAA